GCTCAGAGGAGTAGGGCGCAGGCCCCATATGCCAGACGTGGTGGGGGGTTCAAACCCAGCCCCAGCCAAAAACTGCAAAAAAAAAAAATTTTTTTTTTTTTTTGTAGAAAGTCTTGCTATGTTGACCAGGCTACTCTTGAAATCCTACTCTCAAAAAATCTTCTCACCTTGGCCTCTCAAAGTATTGGAATTACAGACATGAGCCACCATACCCAGCCGCCATTTTTTAAGTGGTTGAAAAACTTTTTTGTGTGTGAAAATTATATACAGTGGAACCTCCATAGCTGACTACCTCCCTACAGATTAACCACCTCCTTAAGTTGACCTAATTTTTATAGACTGGACATGCATCACATGTATATGTCAGCGCAGCAGGCCTACTTCCTTATGTTGACCAACTCTGTATGTTGACCAGTTATCGTCCCTTGGTTGGTCAACTTATAGAGGTCCTACTGTATTTAGTTTGCTGACCAATCCTATCGGTTGTCCTAAGAGAGATTCTATTTGGGCCACTTGTGGGGATGTCAAATCAGGAAGACTTGGCAGCTAGTTACGCAGAATGGGTGACAAGGTTCAGATTCCTGAGGGGGAGAGCTCTTTCTAACATTTTTTCCAAAGGGCATGGAAGCATTATAATATGCCTCCTCCTTCCTACCATTAAAATTTAAAAATCTGGGTGGCACCTGTGGTTCAGTGGGCAGGGCACAGGCCCCATATACCAAAGGTAGCGGGTTCAAACCCAGCCCCAGCCAACCTGCAAACAAAAAATAGCCAGGAGTTGTGGTGGGCACCTGTAGTCCCAGCTAATCGGGAGGCTGAGACAAGAGAATGGTCTAAGCCCAGGAGTTGGAGGTTGCTGTGAGCTGTGACGCCACTGCACTCTACCAAGGGCAACAAAGTGAGACTCTGTCTCTTAAAAAAAAAAAAATTTAAATGATTTTGAATACACAAATATATGGCATACAATTCAAATGTTGCAAAAAGGTGACATCTTTCTCTCTTCCCAAATAGAAATTCTAAATGACTTTTTTTGCTCTTTCCATGGATACTATCAAATTGTCCCTCTTTGAGGCTATCCTCATTGATACTGCTAGCCACAAAGGATTTGAATTTCTATTTTGCCACAGCTTCACCAACACAATGCCTTATCAACCTTTTTCATTGTCCCTAATTTGCAAGGTCAAGAATGCTATTGCATTGTAATTTTAATTTGCATTTTGCTGGTTCTTAGGGACATTAGAATATTTCATAGCCATCTTTATTCTCCTTTCCCTCTATGGAACTTGTTTATTAGCAGTTCAGAGGACATTTAGTAATTTATGGATACTTTAAAAAACAAAACAACAGGCTCGGCGCCTGTGGCTCAAGTAGCGAAGGCGCCAGCCACCTACACCCAAGGTGGCGAGTTTGAATCCAGCCCTGGCCGCCAAACAACAAAACTTTTTTTTGAAACAGAGCCTCAAGCTGTAGCCCTGGGTAGAGTGCTGTGGCTCTCACAGCTCATAGCAACGTCCAACTCCTGGGCTCAAGCGATTCTCCTGCTTCCGCCTCCCAAGTAGCTGGGACTATAGGCGCCCACCACAAGGCCCAGCTATTTTTTTGGTTGTAGCCATCATTGTTGTTTGGTGGGCCTGGGCTGGATTCGAACCTGCCAGCTCAGGTGTATGTGGCTGGCGCCTTAGCTACTAGAGCCACAGGCCCCAAGCCCTGGAAGTGATTTATAATAAGGGCAAGCTAATTCAGTGAGAGCAAG